TGCATCTGCGCACTGCTCTCATCCACAAATACATCAAGTTTTTTTACACTGAGAATCGGACAGTAAAATCTTTCCCGACGTGACAATTATCGCATGGAGTGATGTTTAAGAAACTGAAGCAGAAGGTGATAGAGGAGCAGTCGCCTCAGCGGAGCAGCGCGCAGGCGCAGGTCAGAGCACTTCACTCATGTAGCATGTATGCTAACAAAAACAAAACACAACATCAAGTATACTATACACATATGCATTATAACACACTTACTACCGTATTATATATTTAAATTACAATATAAGCTCTTTAAATAACTACTAAACTAGCGTATTGGTTATACACTAACAAAACAGTACCAAAATCAGATGGTTTTAATATGGCACTGAATGATAACCAAATTCATGGATCATGGTATTAACGTGGTATTTCAATTATGCTATGGTATTACCATGGTGATGACACTATGATGATGACACTCAGAGGATACTATGGTAGTTTAAAATATACATGGTACTTCTAATAATGGTTTATGGTACTTCTAATAATGCCATGGTCTAAATAGCATGGTAATACTTTTGTACTTTTTATTATGTTGTTTTAAATGGGTGTGACAATGTTACCTGTACAATGGCACGGCCAGTATTTTTTGTGTATTGACCATGATATAACAGATAAGTAATATAGTTAGTATAATGACATTTAATGACAAGGTTTAGGTCATCAGATCAGTCTTTTTGGATTTTGGGTGTTGGTTTGTTCAACTACTTAATGAACCACAGACCAACCTGACCTGTTAACCAGACCCGAGAGCACGTTTCCCTAAACAGACGCGCTACTGAAAGGTTAAACTAATACTTCGGTTGAAATTCAAGTCTGTCTGGTTTAATTATTAAGCAATGTTATAAATAAAAATGATATAAAAATAATAATAATAAAAAGACATGCCAGTGTCATATTTGACCTCAATATTAATATCTATTAATTTATCCATCTATTTGTCTATTTATTTCATTATTTTTCACAGAGTATTTTACATAGTTTATTTCTACTTGCAGGATTTCTATAACAATTAAGCACAGTTAAACCTAAACATAAAACATAATTTGATAAATGTAATTCTTATCAATTGGTTGTTGTAAAACTGTATACATTTATAGGTATATACTTGTCAGAAAATGTAGGAGGATTTTCATGAGAGGGAAATATGCTTTATTGCATAAATAATATCATAATGCAAAATATCTCAATGTCCCTTTAATTGAAAAAAAAAAATGTTTGGACATTTTCTTCATGCAGAATTATTTTCTTGTTTTTACTATTTAACTATGCAATTTCTTTTGTGTGTGGCCTCTTGTGTCCATGCTGAAATCAGTGCAGTAAAACACAAGGTTAAAGTCGGCATGAAACAGAAGTTATGATAGTCTTTTCTTACGGCTATTGGCACAAGATGAAATGTAGGGCAGGGCTTGATTTTGTGTAATTAATTAATTAATTAGATGGTTGTGTTTTGCTATTGGTCGATCATGTGAGTGACAGGTTGCCCCACCCTCATGCTAAACACGTCATCAGAGAGGAGAAGAGAGATGGGAAGTTCATTTAATTCAAGATTACATGTGAATTTAACAAAAAATAATTGTGAAGTTGTGCACAGATAAATCATTTATAATAAAATAATGCAAAATTGTCAATTTTTGACTTCATGGCGACTTTATAGTTTCTTTGGTGCACTGCTAGTGATTATTGTGTCTTGATGTGTAACGCACACGTCTGTGTCTCGCAGGTGAGTTCAGGAGAGAGGCGTACTCAACCCCCTGTCCTGTACCAAGATGCCCCGGCCTCCCCCAACGACAGAGAGGTAAGCGGACAAACGGAAACAGGCCTTCCTCTCATTGGTCACGAGTGCATGTAAATGAGCAGCCACTGCTTCCACGTGCCAGATATGTCCTTTAACTCTTCTGCACAGAATATCTCAAATGATCTCAACAAGAACACACAATATCGTCATAACACATGCTTTTCACAAGATTACAGACACAATACATTTAATGAATGCCTTCAGATCTGCTAATGGCTTCCCTTGCTAATGGGATGTGTCCCATACTAAAATTAAAGTATTTTCTTGACAGTAAGTTTACACAGTATATTGTATCAGTTTAAACCTAAGAAATGTCAAAAGTTTAGCTTGAAAAGTGTGCTTGTGCTATTGTTCTTGAAAATAAATGATACTTGGTTTTATATTTAATATAATTTTATGGTTTAAGTTATTAAATTCTGTTTTAAATTAGATTGTGATTTAAAAATGCTGGATCTCCTCTTGTTACAGAGAGCGTTGTGCAGAGATATAAAGTCAGTTTGATAATCTCCAGCTGGTTGGTGAACACATGGCATGCTATTATTGTACTAATGCGGGCTAATAATAGCCTAGATGATTCAGTTTTGTCATTTCTGAACGGTGATATTAGACCCCCTTTGAGGGTTGAATCTTTAAACATGGTAAATAATAAATTATGAATACACCTTAGTGGAATTTCTGACCCTCTGCTTGGTTTAACTTTGGGTTAATCATCAAAGTCAAGTTACTAATGTTTGCTTTATTGATGTTATTGTCCTCGTTTATGAATCACAGCTCAAATAGAATGAAGCGCGTCACCGTTGCGGGTGAACCGTTTAACCGTCCAGTGAGCCGAGGGTTTGATTGAACTCTTTTCTCTCACATTTTCTGTTTGTATTTCCTTTTGAAATTTCCATCAGATCTCAGAATGAATTCCACATCATCTCAGCATTTCCAGGGCTCAACAATAAGGATTTTTAATTTTTAATAAAAAAAAAAATTCTGTCAATGTGTCACAATAATATATATAATAACCTAAATTGATGTCTGTCAGAATTTTATTATCTAAATATTTAAATGTAACTACTTTATATAATATGTATTTCATTTAATAGTAATAATAAAATATATAACTTAAATAAAACATTTCATACAAATATATTTATTTATAAATATATTATTCTAAAGATTTATATGTATTTGTATTTTATAGATAAATATATAATAGCTATGCTTGTATTTTTAATAGGGCTGTGCAAAAATTAATTGCAATTAATCGCATCCAAAATAAAAGTCTCTGTTTACATAATATATTTGTGTGTGCTGTATATAATTATTTTGTATAAATAAATACCTATGCATGCATGTATATATTTAAGAATTATTTGCGCTTAAATTCTGTATATATATATAAAAATACATAATCTATATTATATAAATATAAATATTTTATATATGAATAACACATTTTCTTAAATATATACATGCATGTGTGTGTATTTATATATACAAATTAATTATATACAGCACACACAAATATATTATGTAAACACAGACTTTTATTTTGGATGCGATTAATCGCAATTCATTTTTGCACAGCCCTAATTTATAAAGATTTATATTTATTTATAATATAGATTTTATTTTATTATACATTTTATTTTTTATTAGATTAAACTATATTCTGATTTTATCCCCCGGTTTCACAGGCAACGCTTAAACTAGTCTAAATTGCACATTTGAGCTGTTTTAACTAAAAGCAACATATCTAAAATATATCAGTGCCAAGACATGTTTATAAAAGCTACTCAAATGCCCTAATTGAAGACCTGATCCTGTGAAACAGGGCCTATATGTTTTAATGAAATATATGAGTCCAAGACTATCACTAAAGTTAAAACTTTTGGTGAAATATTTAATTTGACACAAGGAATAGAAACACAAAAACTCATGTACATCATCAAAAACAGTAAGATAAAGTGACAACGCAGCTTCTGACCCCATCCTTATTTTTGAGCCCTAATTTTCTTCTGTGCCAAGACGGCTAGAATTACCTTTTTGATATCTCTACTAATGGCTATCATGAAACTCTACACATTCAAAAAGACCAAATCAGCCTTGGTAGTGACGTCAAACCGTGTAAGTCTGCAGCCTCAGTGTGGATCCGCTGTCTCAATTCTCTTTCTGTTTCCACAGATGTCATTGTCTCATGCTCTGGCTCTTTTTGCTCTGTCGTTTCACTCATTGTGTTGTTTTCTCATTGCTCTTCACTCCTTGGTCCCGTCATTAATGCATTGACTCGTATGGGGGGGTCGTTCAGCTGCTGGCTGGGATGATAGCAGAGCCTGCTTTTCTCTCTGAGTATACTATCTTTGCTCTGGACCACTCAAAACGACCCAAAGCGGCCCAGGTGCCCAGTGCGGTGAGTCTGTCCTCACACATCGCCTCCTCTTCCTCACCCCTGGAGAAACACCCGTCCCTCTGTGATGCCTTTGGAGGTTATGGGCTAGAGGAGGCCGAGTAACACCTGCTTGCTGCTTTTCTCGCATAACTCAAAGGCATCTCGCTCCTAACCCCTGCATCTAATATCTTGCGTTCCTCGTTAGGCCTGAGTGATTTGTGGGATGGCAGTTGCTTTTCTCGTTTCTGTACCTCGGAATGGTTCCTCCTAGTGGTGGGCGATATGACCGAATGATTTCACAATATGAGAAATTTGATTTCATATACATCACAATATAGTTATTTTGTGTTTTTTGTAGGGCTGTCAACGATTAATCGCGATTAATCGCATCCAAAATAAAAGTTTCTGTTTACATAATATATGTGGGTGCACTGTGTAGAATTATTGTGTATATATGTAAATACACACACA